GGAGCTGGGGCTCCATCCTCCTGACCACGCGGCCCCGGGTGGGTGGCCTGGGTGCGGACGCCAGCCCCGCCCCCTGGCCCGAGGTCGCGGTCCCTGAGCCCGCCCGGCCCGGTTTCTCATCCGCAAGCCTGAAGGAGCATGGGCTTTGCTCAGCGTGTCTCGGTGCCTAGAACTGGGCTTGGTGCAGTGGCGGGGGGGGGGGGGGGGGGGGGGTGGGGGATGTCGGGCTACGTCAGGGGGAAATAGGGGCCGTGTGAGAGTTTTCAGTCGGTCATCGGATGCTGATGATCATCTACCTGATGACATTGAAATGGTGCTGTGCAAACGTCCTCCGCAAAACGTTACATGAAGAAAAGTGCCCCCTCCGCGAACGCACTGATTCTGGGAGAAGCTGCTGCTCTCATCCAGTTACGTTGCTGGTGGTATTGTGAACTGGTCGTCTTTTCTGTAATGTAGGTGGTAATACATAGCAAGACAGAATTTGCCACTCCCATTGGACCTCAATAAGGCAAGGCCTTGGGACATATTTGAAGAAAATAATTTAAAAAGAAGAAAGATGGCATATTCATGAAAATGTGCCTCCCAGCGTTATTTCTAATAGTAACAATTAAAACAACCTAAGACTGTACAACAGATATTTAACTAAATAATATAAATGTTACGGATGGGAAGTAGAAGTGAGTATGGGGGGAAATGGGAATACATTAAGGTAGAGGGATTTGTGATTGTGAGACCCCCGAAATGGGACCCTCACTCTGTCCTGCAGACTGACAGCGACCCCAATCAACCGCAGGAGACGTCACTTGATGCAAACAGCAAGAGGCTTTATTCCAGCGCGCTGGGGCTCAACTCGAAACTCACGCAGGAGCGGAGTTGGGCCCCGGGCAAAAAGTCTTTCAGATATTTATAGGCAAAAATCACACATCAGGGAGGGGCTGCATGCAGGAGGGTAATAGGGGGACAAAAAAAAAATTCCAAAGGAGCTTAATTCACTCCTTTCTCCTGCCTGGTGTTTTTACAACCTGTTTATCTTAACGGTTGATTGGCGCTCGGTTTACTCAGCCTGCTCCTTGGGACCGGGGCTATCTCTGAGGGCAGCCTCAAGGCCTGCACTCCCTTTGTTCCCCATCCCCTGGCGTCTCTAGCGGGGGGGCGGGGGGAAGCCTGGGGAGTTGAGATAAAACAGGCGGCTCGGTTTGTGCGGCTTGTAGCACTTTTTATTCTTTCAGTGATTACCTTTTTTAATGGCTCCTTTAATGTCAAAATAATATTGTTTTTAAAAATTAGTAAACATTACAAAAATGCACACAAAAGCCCTTTGCTCTCTGAAACGGGATTTTTGGACTGGAACCTGGATTCTTTGTCCGCCGGAATCGAAGAATGAATCCACGGACAGAAAGTGGTATAGCAAAGGTGGAGATTTATTGAAGAACAAGTACAGACTCCCACCTGGGGAGAGGGGAAGGGTCCCCCAGAATGGACTTCCACGTAGGGAGGGGGAAAGGGTCCCCCTGAGTTCCTTTTCCTTATGGCTTATAAAGGTTGCAGTCCCTGGTGCCTTGATATCCCCTCTGATTGGTCACCATTCCCTTAGTTTGTGATTAATCACTATGCTTTAATTATGTTCAATTTGTAACAATGAAAATACATCCTGCATATCAGATATTTACATGACGATTCATAATAGTAGCAAAATTACAAATATGAAGTAGCAACGAAAATAATGTTATGGTTGGTGGTCACCACAACAGGAGGAACTGTATTAAAGGGTCGCGGCATTAGGAAGGTTGAGAACCACTGATATAGTTCCTTCCTGGGCTCAAAGGTCCAACCTCACAATGGACATGAGAGGTACTCCCCCCCGCCTTCCTTATTTTCCTATTCCCTTTGGGCTTTCTTCTAGATGAAGGGCTTCCTTCTCTCTCTCTTCTTTTGTTGTTGTAAATATAGACCTTTTGCTGCTCCCAGCTCCCCCATTCTATGGCAATGTACCTGTTGCAGCTTTTCAGCTTCCCTGATCTATGGAAACATACCTTCAGCTGTTCTGCAGCCCTGTGCCTCCTCCGTGGTCCCCTTAATTTCTAAAATTTCCTAAACCTGTCCCATTTTACCCCTAAAATTCCTGTTTCATCTCGGGACTATTTCTTAGAACTCTTTGCAGCAGGCTGGAGAAAATTAAGTGGCCCTTTGAGCCTGTCCCAGAGGCATAGCTTTCCCCAGGCTGCCCTGTGCCTGTGTGCCCGGAGCGCCTATGCCACCCTGGCTGGTCTCTCAATGTGCTGTTTACAGGATAAAGTGGGAGTTACTCATGCCTGTGAATGGATGCATTCACTTGATCCTTGAGCTCTTCGGTTCTCTTCAAGAAGGGCGTATTCTTTGAGAGCAGGATGCATGTGAAGATGAAGAGCAGTACTTTCTGGCCAGTCTTGTTGCTAGTCCTAATTGCTTTGCTCTCAGGAGCATTTACTGTCTGTCTTGTTCCACTTGTTTCTTTCGTCCTTTAAGGCGAGCTCCCCCGCCTGGAGAAGTAAAGCCTGGCCGTCCTGAGCCCTGCGCGCCAATGTCGGCACCAACGTGCCTCCCGCCAGCTGCCGAGGCGCCCGACTGCATCGCGGTGGAGATGGCAGGGAAGGAGGAGGCCTGGGACCTGGGACCCGGCCTGCCCCGCAGGGGCCCCTCCAGCCGAGGCCTC